TCTAATGAGCTATTTACAATGTGTTCAGCCTTGACAGACCCAAACGATATGGTTACAAAGAATGATATTCATGTAGATGTCTCTGAGAAACAATCATGACACTCCATGAAGTATGGAATAAGGTCTTTGTATGCTTTGTCTGATTTTTCAATGATCAACTTTACAGATTAAATGCTAAAAGAAATAAAAACAAAAAACAACAAGAGTTTTGAGACAGGGCTACACATATTTCATCCAAATTTAGCATCATGATGTTACAGTGACAAATGATGACACAACATCTACCATCAACTGTCTAAATATATCAGGTTGTGGTTTAAGTTTACATCAGAACAACAAGAATATAATAGTAACTTTTAAAACTCCTTATATTAATAACAGAATAATAATCGAGTCAGAACTTACCAAGCGGGTTAATCTCCAAATAAGTAAAGTACAGATCCAGGTAAACTTCATAAAGAGCTTGAATAAACTTTGCAACGATTCTGCAAATAACATAAAAAAAAAGAAAAATGTTCATGAAAAAAAAGTTAATGCATCTATATCCTTCAGTTAACAACTAATTATTGTATTTGTAATAATAATATTTGAATAATATTTTTTTAAACATATTTTTATTAAAAAATGTTTCAGAATCTGTGCAACCACACTACATATCACCCCAGTAGTTGATGGTAAAAAAGAGAGTAGAAATTCCATAAACAGGTTCTTATATGTGAAAAGTAATAATTAAATTGGAATTGACTGGAAATATTTTGAAAAATTAAATAAAATTATTAAACTTAATACAAATTAGTAATTTACCTATTCAAACTAACAACTATTATGCCTTTTTAGTTCTAACTGCAAATAATTTCATTAGAAACCTCTAGTTAAAATTAAATTTAATGTTCAATGTGTCGTAAGAAAGGAAAAATATAGTTTCAAATGATTTATTTACTTGTAAAAATAAGCCAAACTCTTATACGGTATTTTATATAAAAGTTTTAAAAAAACAAACATACTCCTGTTTTATTGCAGGTAAATTTTGGAGTAAGACATTTTTGATGTCTTGCAGAGAAGGTTTTCCTTCAACAGGTATTTCAAGCTTCAGGGCCTAGTGAAGAAAATATACAGCAAGTCATAGAACATGTAAACATATAAACCGGAAATAAAATGCTTATCAAGGAGTGGGAAGGATAAACAGTATGTTGTGAAAAATACAAAACTGGCATGTTTTTATGCTCATTAATAAGAAAGATGTAACCCTCCATTTTTCTGATACAAGTTTTATAAATTCAACCATTTTAGATAAAAATAAAAAAACAACAGTTTACCCGATGTAATGAAAAGATGCTACGGGGTTTATATTTATAACACAATAACAAACTAATAACAGAATTAACCTAAGTACATGCAAAATACTATGTTCTAGTTACTTTTGATGAAAAGCAACTGACCTTAGCATCGACATCTCCAATCTCCACGCCTCCTTGATGGTGAAACAGAATGGTATCACCATGTCGATGAGAATAAATACAAACATAGGCTTCCTCATCCTGTGTGGTAATAAAATATATTAAAATCTCAAATATTTTAAACACACGCACTGGCACTCATTTGATAAACCCCTATTTTACTACAGTCCTCTTTATTTTATCGAGTAACATTTCCATAATACACATTGTGGAACTTATATGCCAAAGAACCAAAATGAAGTTTAACAGGAACAATTCACATGACTAATTTGAGACTAATTTAAAATGCTATAAATATTAAAAAACAAGAACAAAATCATAATAATATCATTAAATTATTCAGTGTGAAAATCAAGTTTATTTAACCTGAATATTCATTTAGGTTTCTCTGTAAGAATTAAGAAGTCCAAAAACAAGATATATTACAGGTGTAAATATCTACTAGCCTCACACCTAACCAGATTTTGAATTTCATATGTACTAGCCATGGGCTAGTATGGTACTGCTTATGTGAAATGTGTGTGTAAAATACAACTCTATATTTAGGTATTAATATTTAGAAAAATGCTACCCTTTACCTTTTCTTTCAACTCATTAAATATCTACTGATAAGCCTGTGTATTGATGACAGGCTTATATACAAACACATATGCATGACTCAATTATAGATTTGAAAATTACAATGCCCAATTATCTAGTTTCCTATCTACAATACTTCCAAACGTATGTACATACATTTTGATAGGATTAGAAAGGTTACTTTTTTAATGTAAAGTTTCATTGAGAAGAAAAAAAAAGGTGTTTCAGACTGCCCACTCTGTGGAACTCTGTGGCCTTTTTTCTAAGTATGACAGAAAAGGTCAATGCAATCCAAAATTTTGGACCACCAAGTGTAGTTTTGATTTCAGAGTACATACTAACTGGATAATATGCCACAGATTTTATATATTTCAATATTCTGAATTAAGAGTAATATACAGAAGCCCAATTTCAGCTTTTCCCATTTGGGGTCACTTTAATTGCACAGATTCAGTATTAAGCCCATAGATGGCAGTATTTTCACTACTTTAGGAATACAGTCTATCACCTGTGTATGTAGACTGGTTAACCTTCCCCCATTGTATGTCAGCATCTACATCAAATGTGCTGTAATAAACTGTATCATACCTAGTTTTGTAATTGCAATGAATAAGGTTATGCATATATTTGCAATGTGTAATCATTAAGTCCATATAGTAGAAAAAATAAAAAGTTGGGCTAATGGAATTTCAGTTCAGGCTATACATTTATCATGCCTACTATGCTGAAGATAGTACATAAAAATATTTTGCACCCCTTACACACAACAATTTTGTTTTTCAATTCTTGTATTGACCCACTTTATGATATGTAATTCTCCACGTTAAAGGTAGCCTTTATAGACGTTTTGCGAAATTGCGTTGAAAACCACAGAAGCTGATGGCAAGCAATACATCACTTTAGAATTTAAAAGAAAATATATTATGATAAACAGGATAATAAACTTATCTTTACATATATTAGAACTAAACTAGGGATACTGTACAAAGTTACCTGTTTATGAGGAATAAATGGTTCAATGATAAAGTTTCTCAGTTTTCCTGTTGCCTTGCCAACCTATGAAGGAAAGCATACATAATTAATTATACATATATTTTTTGTGTATGGTGCCTTGCCTTTGAAGTTATTAGTTACACATATTTGTATCTGATGACTTAGAATACAAATTTTGAAAATAAACCTAATGTAAAATATAGAAAAATACAAAACAGATCAAAGCATATAGATCCAATATTTATGGAAGGTATGCTTCTTTTTTCTTTTTTATAAGATTTCTGCTTGGATTGTTTTTTGTGAAAAAAAGTAGATGTCACGATGAATATTCATAGCATTCTACAAAATTTAGTTATTAAAAAAAGCAGAAAGACTTATTCATCTTGTTCACAAATATGTAAACCACAGTTTAAGTAGTTTCAAGCATTTCCTCATAAATGTAAAAGATTTTATAAGGCAATTATTAGTCAATTTAGCTCCATATTACTTTAGTTTTAATACACCTGTAACCAGATATAAAAGATAAATTATCTAAAATTTCAAATATTTTAAATTTCATGTTTTGAGAATTGGTATTAAAGACCACTATAGGTAAATCATTCAGCCTTTGTTTTGTATTTGTTGTATGAATTCCCATTGAATTGTTGGAAAGGGTTTAGATGAGGGTTATTAAGATGATATCCAAAACCAAAAAAAAGTGACATACGAGAACAGGTTAAAATCACTGAAATTTCTCTTTTTTGGAAGAGTTAGAGGGGATCTGATTGAGGTTTTTAAGATTGTTGAGGGAATTGAAGTGTAGATGCATCATCTTTTTTCATATTTAATGGTGAAAATAATAAGACAAGGGGACACAAGTATAAATTTTGTCAGGGTAGAAGTCATCTTCAGCTAAGACATCTTTATTTTTTTAACAGGGTGGTTGGCCATTGGAATTGGGTTGCCTTCAGATGAGGTGGGTGCAGTTAATTTATGGAAGTTTAAGGAAAGGCTTGATAAGCACTTGAATAATAATGGTTGGTTTTGAGTGTTTTTTAAATATTTGTTTTTAGATTTTAGTATAACAGATGGGACAGACTACATTGACTAACGGGTCCCTTGTTGTCTCGAACTGCATGTAAATATAAATTAAAACATGTACAGTTTTATATTTTCAACTGAATGTTCTGTTTATTTATAGTACGTAATAAAGACTCAAAATTATTCTAACCACAAGAATAACAAAAGGTGACTACACCACTTGAAATAATGACTCAAGTCTATAGAAAACATTATGAGCAACACTTATCTTACCCATCATCATAATCATGGTTTTAAAAAAATCTTGCTATCACACACCTATTACACAGCAGTTTTATGTTGTTTCTTTTAACTTTATCTCTTTTTGTTTCAAAGTACACAAATAATAATTGTTACATAAATGCCTATACAAACATCAATATCTACATTATCAGGTGGGATTTGAACTGTTATTAATAAAATGTGCAGATTCAAATGAACAAATGTATTTACAGGGAAACAATAAGTAATAAAGTACACATAACCACTTATTAAACTGAAAACTAATATTTTTGAATATTTAGCTTTATATTATAAAAAGCAATTACATTACAATTATTATACGATTTAGAAGTTATGATTTTAATCAAACTTGACTGAAACTTTACTCTAGTGCAACTCATGACAATAATTAACTCAGTATAAATATTCAAAAAAATTATACAAATGAAAAGCCATCTGTTTTGTCATTTGTGGCTTAAGTGGTTTAATTACAATTTTTTTAGATATTTAAGTATCCATTGACACACACAAAAAAATACAGTAGAGGTTTGACATTCAACCATAACATCATCACAATCTAAAGTAAACAGCTTGAAGTACCATTATCTTGTGCATAAGTAAAGTTTAAAAGGCCATATCTTCACACCTCTTCTCAGAAAACCTTTGTAATAGCTGATTTTACATGTACCACCAGCCTACATTATCAACTGTATTTATATTATTCAAAACACCAGGACTCAATAAAAAAATTCACACATTATTTAAAATTTAAAGAATACAAATGAGAATGCTTTCACTTGTAACATCTTCTTCCTAATACAACTTTCCAATTTAATTTATAAGCTTTTATTTTAAGTTTTATTGTTCAGTTTTTAAATATACTTGCATATGTTTGTACATTATTATTATGCATTACTTAAAGACTTGGTAAATGCTAAAATTAAACTACTAACTCACTAAAACATTTTTAATTTGTCTTATGCATTCATGTTCAACATTCTTTAATATGCTTTTCTCTATAATATTTCTTTTAATCATTTCAGACTTAAATCACAAAGGTTAAGATTTAACAAAACTAAATATGTCAAGAATATAATGTCTTGAATTGAAAGATTAATACAGAAATCAAAAGTAAATAAGGCCTTGAAGTCTGGCACTACATAATTCATCTAAAACATGTTGATATTAATTTATACATTTATGTTAAAATCATAACAATACAAGTCAGAAAGACCAAAATTAAAATATTCATGACAAATTTTTCATGTCTAACAGCAACATCTCCAATCTACCCAAGAATATGACCTAATAATTAGCTATAGCTGCCCCCAGTGAATTATTTGTATTACAAACTTTGTGTAATGATGACTGTTACTTACACTAAAAGAAGGTAATCTGTGTCAATATTTTATTTCATTTTCTCATTAATAGTAACCATTTCTCAATTTTAATACATGAGCGTTTATTTTCTTGTTCACTTTTTTAAGGATAGAAATACAATAAAATTTGGGATTTAGGAAGCACAATCATCCAAAAATTCTCACAAAAGCAGAAAAGTTAGTTAGGATTTTAGGTTTAACCTCTTTTCTTATCATTTGTGACAATAAACTCTTGCAAAGTTAGAATTTTGAATGACCTAATTGGTAGTGTAAAAAGTAGTTTCAACTTCAGGTTCAATAACTTACCTTCAGTGATTCCTTTGTAGAATAAAATTATATAATGAATTACTCGTTACTGAAAAAGTTCAGCCTTTTAAATTCATATTATAACAGCATTGTTTCCTCTTCTCTGTAAAGTTACTTTAAGTCAATACATTATAAAAAATATAAAATTTGTCCGGTAAGCTGTACACATTGTACCATTTTCTTTACTTATTCAAACTGACCTAAAACAGAAACTGATCTCACCTGCACATCTTTACCTATTCGTTCATTCACCCATTTGTGCGCACCATCTAGGTCAGAGTTCACGTGGATAAGACCAAGTTTGCCACGTCTCTTTATCAGTTGATCTGGCTTCACAACCAAATGCTAGAGAAAAATAATCAGTTTGGATTAAGAGAAATTATTTATCTCTGACTACTTTCCTTTATGCACCTATTCTACTAACACAAATATATATAGTTATTTTACAACTTTGAAGGAAGTAGAATATAAAAATTCTGAACAAAACATTTGCAAATAGCTAATATTGCAGTATTTTGGAATGTGTTTTACTAATACATAATTTAAACAGATGTTATATAGTAAAAAAAAGTTGAGGTATTTTTATGGATTTATTTATTTTTTAAATAAGTTAAACAAGATATCTGTGGTTTGACAATCATGACATCACAAAATACAACTAAAATACTAACATTAAATGCAATATCCACTCAAAACTACTTCAAATTTGGCATCTAGTAAATTTAGTCAAACAACTTTAGTCTGATGTCCAAAACAAATAGATTTCGAAATAGGAAAACTACAATGACAAAGCCACTTATAATCTAAGATAATAAATTCATAGCTTTCTTCTCATCTTCAGGAACAGGATAATAAGATTCAAAATTATGAATGAAAATGAATAACTTTTTGATTGTAATGATCACTAACAAGGATACTCATGTCTATATGTCTAAAACCATATGAAGATAATTTCTCGTACAGTATGAATAATCTTTAGACAGTACACATATAGGAAATATGTAAAAAAATGTAAGACTGAAATGTCAAGTTTGTGACTATACTTTTGGAAGCTAGCTATGTTCATTATTAATATCATTTAATGGCTCTAATTAACAAAAGATACCAACAATAAAATACTTAAATATTTTGTATAAAAAAACAATGTGTTTGTATTGATTATGTGTGTGTAAATGAAAACAAACAAACTTCATTCTGATGAAAAGAAGATTAACATTCAAGTTACTTAACCTTTTTTCCTCTCCAAACTAAAATCCATTTTAGAAGTACCCCATAATGAAACATATTAGAAATCCAGCTACATTTTACATGAAACAAACTTCAAACCATAATTAAAGACCAAAACATTGGAAAAACTACACAAGATAAAGATTCATTAAAATGTAGTTGAAACACAACCAGTCATGGCCATTTTAAATTGTTTTTCAAATTTTGTTGAAATGTTATCAATCCATGGTAGTTTTAGGTAAACAGGACACTTGTTGGGATCAAATTTTGGGGTCGTTGAGAAGCTCGCAATTTTATTTGAAGTACTTCGATTGATGACATTTTCTGGATACCCATTTTCTAGTAAAATAGTTTAACTACCATGGATTGGTAACATTTCAACAAAATTTGAAAAACAATTGAAAATGGCCATTACTAAATGTTTTCCTGCAGTGAACCCCTACTGTACTTATTCCACACGTAAGCTGTTGCCTGCAACACACAATACCTACCACACAGAAAAGTATGGTGATTTATGAATTCTTTGCCACTCCGAATATTGGTACGTAGGTCGCACTTCACAAAGACTGCAGGATAGGATTAAATAACATATATCCATAAGAAATAAGAGTGTGAAAGAAAAGAATTTACCATGTCACTCCTGTAAAACAAAAGTTCTACCACCTAACTATGAATCAGCGATTGGCCAGCATTTACTAGAGAACCCGACTTGTGCTGACAACTACATGGATAACAGGTTTAGAATTATTGCAAATGGTCTGTCAACCTTTCATCTCTATATTTTGGAAGCCACCTTTATTAAAACACATAAATCTGTCCTTTGCCACCAAAAAGAATTCCTATACAATCTACACATCCTTCAGTAGGTCTGTGACATTTCCTGATTAGCTTAAGGACATGCCAATCAGTGATTTCCTTACCGGCC